CATGTCAGATTTGAAGACTAACTCCTAAAATCCAAGCACTTTGCCCATAAACCAGAATTTCAATATTATTATTTTTATGGCTCCGAGATCCTTGCGTTCATACAAACGGACAGACGGACAGACGGACATGGCTAGAGATCGACTCGGCTATTGAAGCTGATCAAGAATATATATACATAAAGACATTTTACCCTTTTAGCCATGCACCCAAAAAGACAAACACATTTTAAACTGTGCTGAGACTTGCGAGCCGAAGTTTTTCATGTCAGCAAACGAAATATACTGAGAGCACGCCCATTGCCGCCCACATATATTAGTCTAAGAACATGTGAAACTTACTCCATTTTTAACATATCTAAGCTTAATTTAACTAAACAGATTGCGAAGTCGTTCAACTCGGCTACCCTATTTATAACAGATATATATACGCTCGAAATGTATACACTAAGGCCTAGGATAAATGTATACTTGCGTTTGGCAAATCCTCTTAAATAAATTAAGTTGACTTCGGCGATTGTGAAATTATAAAATCAAATTACCCAAACCCAGCAGGCCGAGAGCCAGGCAAAGCATTTCTATGGAATTAGTTTGGGTACGTTTTAAAATAATCATGATCCTTGTAGGACATTCAACATATGCAACGGCTTTTCTTTTGGGCGCCGCACAACAAAGTTTATTATGCAAAGGCAACGGGCCGTTGTCCTGCTCAATGCCACAAAAGGCAATCACTTGATAGGCCCCAAAAAAGGATTGCCGGGAATTGTGGGGATCGTTGGGCTTATGGGGATTAGCGGCAGCTGAAATGTACCAGAAAACGGCAGACAATCAATTACCGATTCGCTTGGCTGCCTGCTTTCTGTAGCTTTCAATTCATCAATTAAAAGACCGCCAAGCAGTCATATCCTTCCCTCGCACGCTTCGTCTCGTCTCGTCTCGTTTGCCTAGCGAAATGCGTCAAAAGCGTTTCAAATGAGCCTTTTAATGGGTTTACGATTTTCCATACAACAACAGCAACAACAAATAGTCACAGGACTTTTCTAATATTAACCCAACTGGTCCTCTTGCGCTCTGTGATTAATTTATTTTTGGCAGCCCCAGTCCGGATTAGGGGACATTATGGGGGCATTGGGGGCGTGCCTGTCCGCACATATAACCATCAATCGGGCATTGGCCCAGCAATCGCTGTCAGTGTGTGTAAACTTAATTCCTGCTCATTTTTAAGCGAGACAAACCCGTACAGACGCCCCAGCCGACCCCCGCCCCGGGGCAGACAGGCACCCCGGCAGCCCCTTCATCAAATTGACAAAATGACGGTCGGGCTGCGCTTCGCTAGTTAATGAAACACTCGAAAGAGTTACACAACGGCGTGCATCGAGTGTAAATATGTATACACCCGAAGCGCCATGGAATTGCGTTTTTGGATTGTGCGGTTCGCTCTCTACCCTCTGCAAATCCGTTCGAATTGTTGTCGTGGTTTTGGATTACGAATTTCGATCAAATGTTAATCCAATCGATTGAGTGTTGTGCTAGAATGCGTGGACGAGAGCACTTCAGCTGTTGCGTATCATACAAAATAGAAACACAAACTGAGATTAGAGCAGAAAACGAAAAGAGAAAATATTTAAGGATTATTTATATTCGATGAGCCTCGTAAAAATGTATATATATTAAAGGCATTAGGTTATATAGAAATTCCACATAATGTGTAAAGAATATTTATAGTTCATGAGCTTCGTATTATTAAAGATTTTATTCAAACATTTGGCTAATAGCATTAGTCTCATCATTGTTATTAGTTATAAATTGTCTGGCAATTGATCCTCATAATCACCATAAGTTAGTTTTGTTATAATAAACATTGTCATCTCATGTTGGAAATCACAATAACCAAATGCTTAACGGCTTTTCGTGGAGATTCAATACACGATATTCTTAGGCACTTTCATTGTCATTAACAATGCAACTAATGCTTATCTAATGCTTAGCCATACAGGGCGCCAATCCTAAATAATGGTAGCTAATTCACTTCGTATTTCTTTCAGCCTTTCAGCCTCAATCTCAAGTGTGCAAGTGAACAAGCTGCGAAATTTCGCACGCAGCTCTCGAAAAAGGTATTTAAGGCATGCCATAGCGAGAGTTGTGTTCCTCATGACGATTAGGAGAAACTCACGCACACCAGGGAGAAACACAAGAGAGAAGCAAAAAAAAAAAAAGGGAAGACAAGAAAAAGCAAACAAAGTGTGTCTAGCAGCTACACGGATAGATATGTATCCGTAAGATACTTTTAGCCAGGCAAACGTGTGAATTATCCTGCCTCAAAGTATTTAATGCGCTTTACACATGGCAACAAGCAAGGGGCAGAGCCCAATGAACAGGACAGCAAATGCACACACACACACACACACACACACACACACTCGGGCATGAGTAAACAAGCAATGAGAGCAATTGAAGGGCACATTGTATTAAAAATAGAAAATAAATGGAGGGAAAATACAACAACAAAAATAATTGAGAGAAAAGAATCGTCTTCGGAATGCCGCATATCAAATACCCTTGCTGGCAACATTTATGCATATATCCATGTATATATAGATATATAAATATATACACTCAACGGAAAATCCCTTGGTTGCATAAATGAGTCCAGTTTGCAGTTAGTTATATTTTCTGAAGGAGCAGTTTTTAAGAGATAAAAATAGAAAAATAGACATCTTCCGACGGCAAAAGATAAAAATAAAAATAAAAGATGTAAATACAAATTATTGTTTCACAAAAAGGCTGAGAAATCCCAAATAAATCTAGGTTTTTGGGCCCATCACGAATTTCGATATAACAAAAACTTTTTCATGTATTAATTTTAAATACTTTATAATTTCCGATTTCTATATTGTACAGATTAAGATTTCCTAAGAACAATTTAATTTAAGCAAAATCTATATTGACAAAAGGAAGACCAATGCATTAGACGATAATACTTTTTATAATTTTAATGAAATTTTCAAAAACTTCCAATATTTTAGTCTATATTTTCTTCCGTGACAGAAAAAATACTCGTTTAGATAATTTGTCAAGATTTAAAGATAAAATTCATGAAATTTCTATCTTACATATTTAAGAAAAATACAAAAAATTGTTAAGATTAATTTAATATACTTTCAATAAAATCAATATCAACAAATGGAGAGCTACGCACGAGAAAGTTGTTGATTTTCCATTTGAGAATTAAAAAACAAAAATAATAATATGGATATTCGAACTGTTTTAAGTGCAATACATAGAAGCTAATATGAGTATATTTTAAAGATATTTGTTTACTAATGTAACGAACAAAATATCTTTTCGATTAGCTTTGACAATCTTTAGATAAAATACTTTAAATCTCACACCTGCTTGACATATCGAACTTGTTACACTTTTCACAACAGATTGCATAATATCCACGGCGAGGGTATACAAATAAAAATCAGCCGCAGCAGAGAGAACAAGAATAATAACAACAATAATATTAAAGGCATTTGATCATTACTCATAAAAACAAACAGCGAGGGAAGATGAAGGGGGTGCAGATGGAGAAGTCGCCGGTGCAGGGGAAAAAAAAGAGTAAACAGTTGTGGAAAACGACTTGTGGAAAAGCGAGACAATGACGAAGCTGATGATGCCGCTGATAATGATGATGATAATGATGATGATGATGATGATGAAGAGCAGCCAACTGGCTGGCTAGAAAATTAATTATACAACGTGAAAATGCGCTGAAATACATATTATCGGGGAGTGGAAGGAGAGGGGTTCGCTATTAAGCGTTAGCTCGTTTTTCGGCTATTGGAAGCGTAAGCCATAAGCAGGCATTACAAATTGCATCGAACGGGAAACTGGTTTCCCAAAACAAGCCAAATGCGCAAGTGAAGAAGAAGATGACGCAGAAGAAGAAGAAGAAGACGATGAAAAGCAAGCGAAAGCAAACAAACAAAGTCTAGAGACAGGGGATAGAGTATTCTTTGAGCCGTTTTACCTGCTGCCAGTACTCAATACTGGCAGGTAGACATCCCAGCGGCCAGCACAGGGTGACTCCGAATTCGACTGCGACTCGCCGACTCGAAGACTCCCCGCAGCTCGGCCTGGTGGTTGAAATTAATTCTACTACGCAACAGGATATGCACTTTTTTTATACTTGTTTTTGACTGTTCCAGGAGCAGAGCATATTGCATATGGAGTTCAAATGAAGACATAAAATGGCAGTGGACCCGAATGAAACGATGTGTACATAAAAAACTGCACTTATTTTGGATATGATCAGTAGATAAAGTAGCTTCTAACTATGCAGGGTATTCGAGTAAGTAAATCTGATCACCTTAACAGCTGAACACGAGCGACGGAAACTCTCACCTGATCAGCAACTAACAGTTATCAAAACAACAACAGAACATTCACAACATTTACTAAAAAAAGAATTTTTTAGATTAACGTTGCTAGAAAACAGTAAGAGCCACAAAAAGTTTAAGTAAACAATAATATACGAACTTTCATTATTAAGAATATCTACCTCGTTATTTAGAGGAATATATCTATATATGTACATATACGTAAAAATGAACCAGCAAGAAATTGTTCTGAGAAATGTTTCACCTCTCATTAATAAACGTTATTCTGTTATATCTGCATCAAGGCTTCGCCATTTTGCATTTTACACTCATTTTAGACTACGTCACATTTGCGCTCAATACTGTCAAACACATTGAGTAACAAATAGAGAGAGAGCTTTGATTACCGTTATAAAGTTCATGTATTGTACTATTTATTACTCAATGCCTTCAACATATGCTCAATCTCCTTTGCAGTTTCGCACGTTCTTTCCTCTTACGCTTTGATCTATTGGCTTTTCTCTTATGGCATGCATTCTCTTAATTTCTTATCTCTGTTGAGGTACCGCAATTTAAGATTCCCTTTTGTGATCTGCACTGTGCACTTTACGCTTAATTCATATCTATGGCGCTTACCTTTCCGCCAACTTTCAGCTCATAGCCCATGCCCAGAGGCGTCTTCAGCTGCACTGGGCACACGAATCCTATGTTCCGATGGGGGCTGTCCACGCTGATCTGATGCTTGCGCGTGGTCACTTTGGGTGCGCTGCGCGTGGGCGCCGGGGTGGAGGAGGAGGCGGTGGTGTTCTCGGCGACACAGAGATCCTCGCCGCCGTGCACGGGAAACTTGGAGCACTCGAGATTCTCGGGCCAATTGAAGTTGTATGTTTTCATGAGGGTCTCGCAGACGCGCGCGGATTCGCAGAGCGAGCGGCAGGGCGGAATGGGACGCTCCAGTATGGTGCAGACGGGCACATAGAGGGAGCAGAGAAATAACTGTAGATCGGCGCTGCAGCCGATTTTGACCAACGGCGCAAACTGATGCACCTCCAGGCCCGCCTCCTCCTGCTTGGTGTGGCCAATCAGATTGGGCATTATCGTCATATTATAGGGTATATTCTTGCATATGGATATGGTGATGGGCTCGCAGCGATTGTGATGTGGAAAGCCGTCCAGCGAGCTGGCCGAGCTGCCGGTCAAGTCGGACCGATAATACGAGCTGGCGTCTAACGGTGTCTGATCGTAGCGCTGCGCGCTCTGCAGCAGCGCCGGCAGCAGCAGCAGCAGAAGCGGCTGAAGCAGCATTTTTCGACTTTTGTACATTTCGCAGAACCGTATTAAAAATTTCTTTTATTGGTTGGAGCGTTTTTGGCTCGTGGATATCTTGAGTAAATTTTCAATGCTTTGCGGGATTCTTAAAGCTCGGACATTTTGACTAAAACACACACACACACACACGCAAACACAAGCACAATGGCGTGGGCGAGGGCGAGGGCGAGGACGAGAGCAGGGCGTTGAAAATAATATATTTAAAACATTT